TAAAAAGCCTTCTTCAACCACCTCCCAAAATCTAATGTTTGGTTACTTCGTCAGATTTTTTGAATTTCAATAGTAGTAGTAGTAGTAGTATCAACAACCATCGGTATTACTATTATTTACTTGATTATTTCTGTTTTGTTTTTGTTTTTTGGTTTTGGCTTTTTCATTATTTATTTTTCAAGGATTTATTTTTAAAAAGTGTAAACTAGATTCCACTAAAATGGGTGCGTTTTTGTTTGTTTTTTTTTCTGAAATGAAAGCTAAAATTGTAATATGCTGTTTTGTTTTGTTTTTTTTTAAATACCAAAATATCAGTGAATTATCCAATTTAAATGAAATTTTATGCACTTGATAAATGAATTGTATACTGAATAGGTTATTTTATTAGAAAATGTACAAATATTAAGAAGCAGTTCAGTTTCTACCTCATTTCGACATATCGTGAATTACAAATATTTGTGATGACAAAGATTTTTTTATAGTTTTATAAAGAAAAATTCCTGAAGACAATATTTAAGTAAACGTTTTTTGCAATATCAAATCTGAATATCTTGAAAATTTGCCCTGAAACCTTACAAAAATAAATCAATAAAGCTCCAAATATATTTTTGTTGAGAGTTGGTGCTTAGCTTACAACACATTATTTTCTTACAGAATTGACAGAGGGAAAAATCTACATTCAGTATTTATTTTTGAAAAAATTACTTGTAATTTTTCAGTACGATTTTGAAATTCTTTTGATCACTGATAATAAAAGAAATTTTTTTTATTTAAAAATGTATTTGAAGAATCAAAAAATGTAAAATTTAATGCTATTTTCGTATCAGAAATAAGAATTTTATTTTATTTTTTCTTTACACTATTTATATTCGGACTAATGTCCCCATCTTTGTTCCTGTTATCACAACGTTTCGGCCGTTGTGCTCTACGGCCTTCCTCAGGTGTATATCGATCTGGATAACCTACAGGGAATTTCGAACTGAGCCCTTTATTTAAATTGATGGGGTTAGACTGTTCTCGTTCCTCTCCTTTTGTCTAGGAATATCTTGCCTAATTCCTATTCTTACTTAGTACTGCTCAGTTATTGCTTGTCCGTTTTCAATGAGCGCAAGTCGTCTTTAATGAATAAAATATATTATGGACATTATTGTCTTAAGAATTTTTTTATGGATAAAGAATTTTTACAAGAATTGTTTTCATTTTAATTAGAATAATTTATAAAATTTTAAATCTTTTAAATTACTGTATATTGTACTGGTTATGTGATATTGTTATTAAATAAAAGATTATATTTACTATTCATCAATGGAAAAGCTTACTACAACTTAGCGACAATATTTCAAAAAGAAGTTTGAATTTGTGTGTGTGTGTAAAAACGTGGAGATCTTTGTTAATACAGACGTCCATACACAAAATTATCAAAAAATAAAAGCGATAAATATAGTGAATTTAAAATCAAAGTACCTAAAAATCAATAAAACATTAGATTACAGAGACTATTTTTCTAAATTGTTAAGACAGCTGTGTAGTTAGAAATTATATAAAAAGGTGGTTACGTTAGATTCATCAAGTAATATTTACAGATATGACCCCAGTAGAAAAAAATTAGTTAAACTTCTGGCTGTCAGTCAAGCTGTCACCTTGTCAACACCTTAAATAAACAGCTACTGCCATGTTAAAAGGATGCATTTCTACGATATTTTAACCTAAGAGTAAGTAATATTAGTTTCAAATCTGACTAATCAAACTATATATCAACTAATATTCTTCAAATAAAATAATGTAATGGAATAACCTCTCACCCACCTGAATGACTACACTATAGGTAGTAATTACTTATAAGTAGTTGTAAGTCAACGGACTACAGGGAATAGCTGAAATCTTTTGCAGCTATGCTGGTCGAACTCTCTGCATTCGGACAGAGAGGAACACGGACGAGGCTATGCCGAAGGGCATAGCCTCGTCTTGGGAGATAGACAGACCCGAACCCGTTTATGCGGGTTCTACTGAGAATTTTTGGCCGAGCCTACGTGCTCGGATGACCAACGTCAAAACTCGACCTTGTGCCACACCTACCTTCGTGGAGAGGGGTATTAAATATTGACTAGCTGGAATCTTTTCTAGCTGAGCTGATCAAACTCTCTGCCTCCAGGCAGAGAGGATCCCCAGACATGTCGATGGGCAGAGTCTCGTCTAAGGAAACAGCTACCCGACCCCGTTATACGGGAAATTTTTGGCTGGGCTTACGGGCTCGGATTACCCCACATTAAACTCGGCCTTATACTACATCTTACCTCGTGGGGAGGCTGGTCAATATCGAGTAGTAGAATCTTTTCCAGCTGTGCTGGTCGAACTCTCTGCCTCAGAGCAGAGAGGATCCCCTGATGAGGCTATGCCGAAGGGCAAAGGGAAACAGCTACTCGACCCCATTTTATACGGGGTCTACGGGGAATTTTTGGCCGAGTTTACGTGCTCGGATTGTCCCACATTAACCTCGGCTTTGTGCCACATCCTACCTCGTGGGGAGGCTGATAAATATTACTAGCTGGGATCTGTTACTCAGCTACTAGCTGTTGTTGAACTCTCTGCCTTCGGACAGAGAGTAACCCGAAAGAGGTTATGCCGAAGGGCAGAGTCTTGTCCGGGGAGGTAGATAAACCCGAACCCGTTTACGCGGGGTTTACGGAGAATTTTTGACGGTCTCTGATTGTCTCACATTAAATTCGGCCTTGGGCCACATTCTACCCCATGGGGAGGTTGGTAAATATTGTCTAGCTGTGATCTGTTGAATACAACTCAGACTTACGCGAGAACTACCGACCTTCTACTGGATTGACTTGCGACGATCTTGCGCATAACTGTTACCTTTATTCTTATTGTACTGGTATTTACAATAAACCTTTACTTATTTTATCCACCATGTTGTTCAAGTATGTATTCCCATTAGCACGGAATATAACAAAGTTTCAGAAAAATATAGTTTTTTTTAATATTTTTAAGAGAATTACTAATTGCTAGTTTGCTAATAAATCCGCTAAAATCAGCGATTTTAAAACAAAAACTCCGTCCAGTGAATTAAAATTTTGAAATAGAGCAAAGTATTTTTAAATCAATTAGCTTGAAATTAAAACTAAAATAAAAGATTAAAGAATTTTTTTTAATTTTTAATTTATCTGACAATAATTTACATACACACACACATACACACACATAGGTAGCTCCACCGATTAGCGATACCAAAAATTTAAAATTAATTTTAAAAATTAAAAGAAATTTTTTAAAGCTTTTATTTTAGTTTAAATAATTATTTACACACACACACATACATACATACATACATACATATATGTACCGCCACTGATTCGCGATACCAAAAATTTAAAATGAATGTTAAAAATTCTTTCATTTTTGGTGTCGCGAATCAGTGGAGGTATCTCTCTCTCTCTCTCTCTCTATATATATATATATATATATATATATATATATATGTGTGTGTGTGTGTGTGTGTGTGTATGTACCTCCACTCCATATATATATGTACCTCCACCGATTTGCGATACCAAAAATTTAAAATGAATTTAAAAAATTTTTTAATTTTTAAAATTCATTTTAAATTTTTTGTATCGCTTATCAGTGTAGGTACCTATATATATATATATATATATATATATATATGTGTGTGTGTGTGTGTGTGTGTGTGTGTGTGTGTGTGTGTGTCTAAATTATTGTCAGATAGAGTGCATCTGGTAAGGAATAACAAGAACGAACAAGAGGAAAAACTATTCTTTATCAACATAAAGGTGCATAAAGTCCCTCAGAAGACGCAACGCATCGACTAAGAATAGTTTTTTTTTTTCTTTTTATTCATATATATATATATATATATATATATATGTGTGTGTGTGTGTGTGTGTGTGTGTGTGTGTGTGTGTGTGTGTATGTATCTATGTATATATAAATAAAAAGAAAGAACAGTAAGATATATAATCCGGTGTTCTTATAGATATTTTTATTTTTACAAAATAGTGCTCAATGTAAATTTACAGAGCATTAATATTTTCGCTTGATGATGAAATAGAACTAATGTTTTTAATCTAATTACAAAATTAAATTCGAAGCTTTTAGCTTCCATTTTTGAAACATGATTAGAACTGTGTAGCGAAAAAACCATATTTTAAATCAGTTAATTTATTATATATATATATATATATATATATATATATATATATATATATATATATATATAACTTTTTTAGTTCTACATAAACGTCAGAAAAATTTTAAAATGCAATAATTTGATGAATTTTGGAAGATTTTTAAAATCGACGACCTAAAAAAAAATAATGATATTTCAATGTCATAGCGACAGTGTTTTTACACAAAACTAGACAACATTTTTAAATGTAAATATTTGCGATTCAACTACAAATAATTTTTATATCGGAATTTTTTTACCATTCTTTCTGCTTTCGATTGGAAGAAAAAAAATTGACCATAAATTTTGATTTTAAGCTTCGGTTTTCATAGCTTCTTTTACTCAGGTGTCAAATTATCGCGGTGAAAATTGAAGATACCTACAATTGTTTTATTTGTTTATATAAAACTTTTTTCTCAGACAAATCCGGGTTTTACCGCTCACTTACCGTTCACTTGAGGGAAAACAACATCCGGATATCATCGCTTTAAGAAAAATAAATGAAGAAAGACTAAAATAGAACAAAGAAAATAAAGAAAAACCTTTTAGAATTTGTGACGCTATCAACATCCTAGTATTTTCCGTTCTATCCGTCAAAAATGGTACAAGGAGTGGTTTGCTTGCTTGACACAAAATCTCCAGATTTCCTTTTTTTTTTTTTTTTTTTTTTTTTTTTTCTTTCTCTTTTCTTTTTTCATAGCTCCGAAAATGCTATAAATACGGTGGGGTCTGAATTCAAATTCAATTCGGGGGAACGTGAAGGCAGATACACAGACCAGAAGACGAATCTGAAGCTTTAAAAAAAATGTTCGCCGAGAAAAACTGTCACTTTTTTCTTCTTCTGTTGGCTGGGTCGACACTGGTAATGGCTAATCCAGTTCCGGGTAAATATCCAGTTTAATTTTTCTCTTGTTTTTGTGCACCTTCCAAAGAAGATAAAAATCCATACTCACTGAAAATGGTCAACAAATTCTGCATACGTATTTTTTTTTTTTTTTTTAATACTCTTAGTTTAAAATAATAATGACGTCGATATAGTGGCTCCCTCGGCCTTGATAGCGTCACGGGCGACTGCCCGAGTTGCCAGTAGCTTGAGCTGACTGTCCATTTAAGTTAAGGTTCTTGAATATAGATAGAAATTAACTCAGTCAGTCAGTCAGTCAGTTAAATGTCATACATGAAACACACTTAGGCAATCATGTTTCTTTCGATACATGACTGTCGAGACAGAAGGTTTTTCCGCAGAAAGTTGTCGTTTCTTTCTGCGGGAGACTGGCCGCAAACCAAGGCTATAAGATCCAGCCTGTACAAGATATTCAACCCATAGCTGGAGAGAGAAGAGATAAATCCATATCTTTCCCAAGGGTATTTGCACGTAATTGAATGTAACGAACCCGACTAGAATTCGAACTTGGCTCACCGATTTCTTATTTTGAGCTGATAACCCTTACAACCAAATTAATTAAGTTTTTTTTATTTCTTTTTTTATGTTTTTTTTTTTTTTTGTTGTTTTTTTTTGGTGGCGGGATATTTTTTAATTATTCTAATTAGTCATCTTTTACAAAATATCTTTATGCGTTAATCTCATTCAGTTTTAAATATTCTTGGATTTTTTTTAGAAAAAACTATTTAGCAATAGCAGTAGATAGGTTTACCTATCGTCCAGTGCATAATCCCCCCTCCCCGGTCTTTTGAAGAGTAGTAGAGGATTATCCCATGTTTCTTGTTTAGGACTGGGTTTCCGATTCCTTCTAAAGTTTTTTCATTCTCTTTTGACGTTCAGTAGCGCCTTGCATCTTAGTGACGTTATTGCCTTAGGATGAATTGATTAAAAACATAATTGTTGCGATCTTAAATTTAATGTGATATGTTTTAAGAGAAACGAGGGTCAATTTGTAGATAATTTCCAAGTAGGCATCTACGCGGACGACACTACAATTTACTCCTGCCTCAAAAACAAATCTAGTGTCGCTGACAACCTGGCAGTTCGTCTCGAAAGGACCTCCAAACGGGGCAGTAATTGGCTGATTAACTTTAACGCCTCCAAAACAAAACTGCTCTCTATTAATCACCACAGAGATCCTTCCCTGTCCCCCATTAGAATGTGTGACACTCAACTTCCCGAGAACACCTCTCTGCGGCTGCTCGGTCTCACGCTGTCTACTGACCTGAGATGAAACAAATACATTGAGTCAATTACTTCGTCCACCGCAAGGAAAGTTGACTCCCTGTGCCGCACCAGGAAATTTTTCTCCCCGGAATCGATCCTTCAAATCTACAAATCAACCATTCGCCCTTGCATGGAGTATTGCTGCCATATATGGTCTGGAGCCTCTACTGTTTGCCTCGGGGTTCTTGATAAGACCCAGAAACGGATATGCAGTATAATTGGCCCTGATCTGGCATCTTGTCTTCAGTCGCCCTCTCACAGACGTGCCGTCGCCTCTCTCTATCTTTTTTACAAATACTTTCATGGTAATTGCTCCGATGAGATGCTTTCGCTGGTTCCTAGACTTCGCGAATTCAAGCGTCCTATGAGACTGGCATCCCGCTCTCACCCTTTCACTGTTGAAACTGTTAAATGTAGCCAATAGATTCATATCTCGCACCTCTCGCCTGTGGAACTCCTTTCCCTATTCCTGTTTCCCTGATAGCTATAATCTCCAACTATTCAAATGTAATGTCAATCGACATTTCCAGTTGCCTTGATCTATCCACTATCCTTCTCCTCATCCTTTCCTCTATCATTCCTACCTGCTCTCGCTCCAAATCCTCTATAACCCCTTGCGTGCTAGTGGCTTCCCGCCTTGCTAGGGGTGTAATGCTTAAAAAAAATTAATTTTCTTATAAGTGGTTTTCTTATTGAAGGAGAGAGCGGCAAAGTAACGCTGGGGTACAAATATACAAAGCCCAATATTTCTAGTGTATCACATCTGCCTCTACCAAGAATTGTTGGGCTATCGCGATAGGGTCATGACCCATTACTCCCCATGATTTGAATCTAAGGAAAGTGCTTTCCCATATTTGTCTTGCAGTTGCCTTTATTATATCTTTATTGGTTGTGATTAGTACTGGGTGATCTGTTCCTAACATAAAATATATGTTCAACTTTCCATTCTCAACTTTCACAATAAACACTAACCTCTAAGGAAACAAAAACTGGGGTATTTGTGTGCTCTTTTTTAATAACAAGATGGGTCAGCATTTCACGCATCAATTTTCCTTCGCACAAATCGTGTACTTAACATTAAATATACTTAGTGTTTTGTGACAATCCCAAGTTTATGGAGGGTTAGTTCTAAGTTACGTTCGCTCAAACGACAGCATTCAAAGAGAAAGAAGCACAACAACCTGTACTATTTCAGTCAGTTGTGTGCCATGCATGATAAACGCATTAGGTGATCATGTATCTTTCGATACATGACTGACGAGGCAGATTTTTCCCGCAGTAGGTTGCCATTTCTTTCTGTGGTAGGCTGTCCTGCTATTTATCCATAGATAGGAGGAGGGGAGAAGAAGAGGATTCATACATTTCCCAGGGGTATTAGCACGTAAGTGAATGTAATGGATTCGACTAGGATTCGAACTCTGCTTTCCGATTCCTCAATCCGAGCCGCTACCCATTACTCCACCGTGCTGTACTATTTAAATACATATTTAATATAAAAATATAATAGAAAAAAGGTTTTCAGTCTATGTGCTTCTACGGACTTAGCTTAGGGGAAAAGGTGTCCGGTTGTCTTGTCAACAGAAATAGTTGAAGTGATTCATTTCAGTACTTGACTAGCCTTTTAAGATATGCTAAGGACATCATGGACCGAGCATGTGAGCAACGATGAGGTCTTAGAGAGGATGCAAACAAGGAGGAGGCTTATACGTAACATCAGGAAGAGGCAGCTGAAGTTTCTGGGAGACATAATGATGAAGAAGACTTGGAGAATCTGATACTCACAGGTTGAATAGAGGAAAAGAGAGACAAGTGAAAACAACACATGACATACCTAGCGGGCTTAAGCAAGTGGATGACAGAACGTGGTCTGGTTGAGATAGCATAGGGAATAGCTGCAAGGGATAGAGGAAGGTGGAGATGCATGGTCGCCTTTGTCCTGAAAGGACATGACATATAAAAAGAAAGAATTTCTTTTCCGGTAGCCCGCTCCGTTTTTAACCTGGGGTTACTGACCGGGGCTTGTAGTGAAGGGTGAGGACTGCTCGTGCTGCCTGAGTAACGTGGTGGAAGAGAAACATAAAGAGAATGGGTCACTGAATTTGGCGTTTATATAGCTACTGCATGATCCGTACAGAGATAGTGATTGGTCCTTTCTTTAGCTTTTCTGAGTCTTACTCTATGCTTCATTTGTCTTGTTTTCCGAATGATTATTCTAAATTACAATTGTTTCTTTTATTTTATTGATTTATTATAAAACAAAAGTTGATTATTTTGTACTTTAACGGATCTTTACTGATTTCACCAATGTTTTAATGTTTAGAATTAGATTTGTTATTGAGATTAGCAGAGAATTCTTTAAATTTTGATCAGTCAGTTGCGATCTGTTTGTTTTTAATCCATGATTAAATGATTGTTCACGTCCGTAGATCATTTCGCTTGACTACTGTTTACACGGCCCAACGATTTGAATAAAACAGTTTAACTAAATGTAATAGGCCTAATTCACTAAAATTCAGTGTTGCAATCTCATCACAATATTCTGATAAATATACCACAGGCTTTATTGAACTCGGATTACCAGAAGTGAAAAACTTTTACCACTTTACCTAGCGTTAATTGTAATTAGGGTGAATATAATTGCTTATTGAAGTCGAATCTTGCAAAAAGAAATAGGCGAGGTTTTATCATTTAAATTATTAGTCCTCATCCTTTATTTTTCTTTTGACTTCATTCTTCATCACCGTCATTATCAACACTGTACGTGTGTTTATTAATTCCATTTAGTCAACTGTTTCATTCAAGCCGTTGTTTTCCTCTGCGTCCATGCGCCCGGTAAATGATATTCAAGCCAATTCCCAAACTGTATATATAGTTCTGAGCATTTATTTTTTAATTATTTCTGGAAGGTGTTTGCAAGAGTAATGATCGCTGGTAATGATTACCGGGATATAACACAGTATTTCAATCTGTAATGCACCATCCATGACTGGTATAATTTCTGGGGACTGGCAACCCACTCTCTCCTTAATTTCTGCTCAGACAATAGACTAAAGTGCTTTTTTGTTTAATATCGCATTAAATACATATTTTATACGTGAGACAAATAAGACTATTTATATATGCTGAATTGACAGATACAAATATACTTACATATTTATTATAAGACAATATGCTCACTATATCAGTGAAAATAGTAAAGGGCTGAAATTCAAGAAATAAAATGATCAGCGTGCGGCATCACTACGATTCGAACCCAGAGTTGACCTGCAACTTTTATGTTAACCCCGTAAAATTGCTTGGTTCACTAAACTGAACTGTAGTTAATCTCTGTTGAACAAGAAAATTGTTTTTTAAAAATATGTTGATATAACTGAAACAAAGTACTTCTACCTCTGGTGTTGTGAGTCATATAATATATACAAGACATACATTTTCGTTTGACCTACGTATAACATTTTCTGAGTATTCAACTGTAAAACATTCTTTAGAAGATATTGACTATTCTTATAATTTTTTTCTTTAATTGCAGGCTCATGTAAATTGCCAAATTGCAGACGTCCAGGAACATCCATTCCAGGTTCCTTGGAAGCAAGCAAAATTCCACAAATGGTAGTCCTGACATTTGAAGACGGCGTTAATTCTAAACAATTTAAACACCTGAAAGAAATCTTTGGCGAAACCTATAAAAATCCCAATGGATGCCCAATGAAATACACATTCTTTCCTACTGACATTGATAATGAATATAATGTGTCCTCCCTACTGGCCGGTATGGGATATGAACTTGCTTCACATAGTCTCACACACAAAGTGCCTCCCAGTGCCTGGTCAAACATGACAGCTGATGAGTTCAAGCAAGAAATGGTCGGTATGAAAACAAAACTCACAACACATTCCAATGCCAAAGTTGCTGGTGCCAGAATACCTTTTCTTGAATTGGGTGGAGATGTCCCTTACCAAGTTTTCCAAGAAAACGGTTTTGTGTGGGACTCAAGTATGATTGCTGGTTCATTAACATATCAAAATGATGCTCCTGTTTGGCCTTTCACTTTAGACGAACCTGTGTCAAAAAAATACTGTGCTTTCGGAAAATGTCCCAAAGGTTCTTACCCAGGGTTGTGGGAATTTCCATTGAATCGTCTTTACAACGATAAGGGCGAGGCTTGTTCTCTTGTGGATAGATGCGAATTACCAGACAACACAGCTGGCGTCTTGAAATTCCTTCGTAAAAATTTCTATGATCAGTATTATAATAAGAACCGCACGCCATTTGGTATGTACCTTCACATCTCCTGGCTCAGATGGTCTGCCATTTTTGATTCAGCAAAAGCTTTTCTAGAGGAAGTTGCAAAACTAGATGATGTATACGTTGTTACTGTGTCACAGGCTCTTGACTGGGTGAAAAACCCAACACCTTTATCCCAAATCTCAACTCTTCCATCTTGGAATTGCAAACAGTGATTAAAACTTTATTTCACCAAATCTATGTAATGTGAGAGTATGTTTGTGTGTGTGTAATCAAAGAAATGTTTAACATTCAATAAAATGTGAAAACTGAACAAAGAGTTATTTTCTCTCTCTCTCTCTCTCTCTCTCTCTCTATATATATATATATATATATATATATATATATATATATATATATATATATATATATTCTTTGAATATTGTATGAAATACAGAATTCCATATTATGGAAAAATGTATGACAATGTGGAAAAAGTTTACTTGGGTCGTGTTTCGTCCTTTAGGACTTCATTGGACTAAATTTATTACGTTGGTGCTACTACACATGCGCACAAATGAGGTATGCTGGGAATTTTAAGTTTTATATTTTGTTTTAAATCTAGTCGATTAAGTGTATTTGTTCTAAATATGCACTCAGATATTTGTGGTAGTTAAACAAAATATTGATCTGTGGCCGAGTGGTCAAAAGCAAACCGAAACAGACGGTGATTTCTCCTACAAATAGAGGAGCACATCCTCTTTATTAAGATTCTCGAATGAGTAGGCCGGCGGACTTCATTTACACTGTCAAATTCTTTTTAATAAAAGCCTACTGGAGGTCTCCACAAAATAACGCTTATCGTAGTGGGGAATACACACACACACACACACATATATATATATATATATATATATATATATATATATATATATATATATATAGTTTATTAACGCTGTACACAGTATGATTTTATTCAAGGCAACATTCCTCTTCGGTCTTTTGAACAGGAGTAGAGGTTTATCCCTTATTTCCTGCTTAAGATTGGGTTTCCGCTTCTAACGTCTCCGCCTAAACTCTGAAATCTATACTATTGTTGGGTTTTCTGTCTCTTCTAAAGACTTTTCCTTCTCTTTCACTTCCAGTAGCTCCTTGCATCTTATTCGCATTATCGCCTTGCTTGGAGCGAATTCATTAAAAAATGGTATATTAGTAAGTTGTACATTTATATCCAAAAAGTATTTATATATGAAAGACACTAACTAAATGTGATTAGTACAGCAACTGAGGTCCTTAGACCAGTTAAATTCACAGGTGTCTCAAACCTTTCTGAAGATATTAGTAATATAATAATCTTATATATTAATAGCCGATGGTCTAGGTAAAATGTTAGTTACGCTACGTTCAGACACACGCTTAGTGACACACACCCTACCACAACAATAATAATTTCCATGATTACGATGAAAGCATAAACATGTTGTACCCAAAACTCTGCAAAGAGATAAAATTTTAATTATTACCACTGTTGTAAATTTTGAAGCGACTGAAAGTGGGTTTCTGTTATCAATATAATTTGTTCTGACAAAAAAAGTCGTCTTGAAGTTAAAAATGTGGCAAATCATCTAGTCATAAATTTGATAAGTCTTCTATTGGAACTTTTGAACTGCAGTTTATTTAGTTCGAATGTGGCTAAGAAACCGTAACACAGGTAATGACACTAGAGTCAAAAAGCATCATACTTCTAAACAGAAATATGATGAGAACAGAATTTCATTATGAAAAAATTATCAAACTGGTTTAATTCATTTTGATACTATAAAGTGATTTGTTTCCATTCTTAGATTGGAAAGAAAATAAGCGGAATAGGTTCCTGAAGATTACCTGCCTTTATAGAACTGGTTCCTTGAAATATGGGATTGGATATAGACCATAATGTAAAAAATATGATGAGAACAGAATTTCAATATGGAAATATCTTAATAAAGATTTTCAATTAAATAATCAAAATGGGTCAATTCTTTTTCATACTATAAAGTGATTTGTTTCCATTCTTAGAGTGAAAAGAAAATAATTACCTGCCTTTATAGAACCAGTTGCTGGAAATTTGAGATTCCATTATTGGTTGAAGAGTATGAGACACAGCTTATGTGGATATGTGTGGAAGATAACAGTTAGCCTTGGACTTGGGCAGGTTAAGATTGAAGTGACCAGGGTAGCTAGAATTAGGTTCCACAAAGCAATGTTTTGTGGAAAGAAGCTGCTTCAGTGAAACTTACATCTCACCAAAGCAATAGCTATTTCCCAAGCGTAGCTTAGATGTGGCACATAGCCGAAAGTAGGGTGCACCCAGTGAGGATCGAACTCACTACTCAGTCGTAATTGTTCTAGCAAGACAAGCTTGCTAACCATTACACCGAATGAGGATTGTTTGTTACAATGATCGTGGCATGGCGGGTCTTAGCCGTGAAGGTTATGATTGGTGGAACTAAGGAGTGTAGTTCATCTGAACACTCTCCATGAAAATAGCAAGACGCTTGTGACGTCTCATGTGTAAGAGAGAGAGAGAGGTTGCAGGGTGGGAAATAATTCTTAATTGTTGGAGCTATACAATCATCAATCAGTCTGTGTGTGAGCGAAACGGGTAAGCATGATGATGGGTCTGTTATAGTATGGGGATGTTTTGGCAGAGGGGAGGGCTGGTGATTTGATTCAGTTCAAGGGAACCATGAAAAAGAGAATAATTTTAATCGATTTTGTAATGACATGTTATACCACCTGGTGCGTGCGCGTAATTGGAAAAAATTCACAACAATACAAAGCATACTTCTAAATTACGTCAAAAAAAAAAAAAAGAAAAGAAAGAGGAACAAAATTTAGGAAGTTATGACCTGGCCACCTGAATCTCCTGACCTCTCACCCATTGAATTAGGATCGGATGAATTCTATAGGAGATTTCGAAGAAAATGTCCAAACAGTGATAATAAACTTTTTAGTGCAAGAAATAAGATGGCTGACCTTCCCAAGCAATTTTTGTTCGAAAGCTGATGAAATGAATGTCAAGGATTTGTAATTAAAACAGATGGTGGTTTAATTGACGAAAACAAAATATGATGTTGTCATATGATAATTTTTTATTGCTAAGTACTTGTTCTTGTCAAAAATAAAGGCAAATACACTAGTTACTGATATTTTATCTTTTACTTAAAAATACAAAAATATCACATTTTAAGGTTTGGTTTGGTTTGGTTTGGTTTGTTTTACGGCACATCAACTTCAATGGGTTAATTCATGACGACACGATTTTTATAGCTGGTAATATTTTTTCAAAAATGTATTGTTGTTAATATATTTTTTTCCAAAACTGTCTTGCTGGTAATATATTTTTTCCAAAAATGTATTGCTGGTAATAAATTTTCCTCAAAAATATATTGCTGGTAATATTTTTTTCCTTCAAAAATTCATTGCTTGTAATAATTTCTTACAAAAATGTATTGCTGGCGTTAAAACCTATTTTTACACTTTCATAGGGTTTCGACCCCAGTTGTGGGGGATATCAACTATTTGCCCATAGCTGGGACCCTCGGGTCAGGATGGACCTGAGAACACCAGCAATGAAGAGGTGGTTCCACGCTCCTCAAAACCTCCTGATCAGAGGCCTGCTGACGGATGTAGTTTATCGTCTTACCCGGGACGGTTATTTAAGGTCTTTTTTTATTAAAGAAACACAGGGTGTCGTAAATTATTTTGTCTGTAGTGTATATCGTTTTGTTCCAAACTAAAAATTAATTCCTTTCAATTTCTATAGACATCTATAAGTCATTTCTTATCATCTCACCTAATAGTCCTATAAATGCCATCTTTTGATAACATTTCAAATGATTCCTTTTCAAGAAATATCATTCATATTATTCTTATTCGCTGCACTGTTTTCCTTTTGAAACAATTTTTGCATATTTTTTTCTGTTTTCATACCAGCACCTTTAATCTTTTATGAAACGTAAATTGACAAAAACAACTTTATTTTTATAAACTCATATCAAGAAATGCAAACTTTTATGAGCATTACCTGCCAGTATTTTTAATAATTGTTGTTTTCGTCAACAGAATATCTTTAGAAGTAAAGTCACGATGCATCAAGTGTTTCTTCACTGAGTTTTTCCTCCCTGTTTTAGCATATTGTTTTTCCAGAAATATTCCAAAACATCACCTATCATTCATCTGAAAGCTTGTGGAGATTCCTACTCTAAACTTATTTTAATGCCTCCAAAATGAAAATGCTCTTTATGAATCTTTTCTTGCTCTCCATCAGCATGGCTGATGCTAATCCCCAGAAGAGTGAATTATTACACTTTCTTGAATCAATTGAATCAGCTGCTAGGACTGCTGCTAGGAAATTTGTTCTCGGCAGAATAAGTTTTACACCTTTGTAAGTTTACCTTTCATCCATGCATAGAATATTACTGCCACATCTCTTCTGGGGTTTCTGCTATGTATCTAGAGATTTTTGACAGGATCCCGGGAAAAATCTACAATGTTGTTGAACCTGCCCTGGTATCTCAACATCAGTTACTTTCCCAGCAGCTTGACATAGCTTCCCTGAGCCTTTTTTTTTATAAATATTTTCATGGTAATTGTTCTCATGAGCTTTCCTCTCTGCAACCTCAACTTTATGAATTTAAGCATAGCACTAGATTGGAAGCTAGATCGCCTCAGTTTACTGTTGAAATTGCTAGATGTAACCATAAGTTCAATACTAACAGTTTAATCTCTCTCACTTGGACAACTGTCTTTCAGCTTCTTACTTTACTGTCAACTATGATCTTCAAAAGCAAAATGCAATTTTAATCGTCGCCTTGTCTCCTTGAATTCTTCTCTACGTTTTCTCGCCTTGATAAAGTTTTTTTTCTTGCGTCTTAGTGGCTTTATCACCTTACTTGGAGTGAAATAGCTAATTTTAAAAAATGCAGAGAGCTAACTCAAACGCTTACGCTTCAATTAACAGAATACTGAATGACAACAGCTCGCGAGTGACAACATTAAGAGTCTGTTGGAATATTAGGAGAGCTTGATTTACACTTGATTTTTTATTATTATAATTACTATCACAATGAGTAATACAAATGTAGAAAGATTAATACCTATATTGCATGGGTTATTTGAAATTTGATAGGGTATAACACAAAAAGCTATTTGAAATATTAGGAAAGCTTTATTTACTGTGGGGAAAATTGTG